GCTCGTCGTCCGCCATGCCCTGGAAAACCTCGGCCAGGTTTGCCAACGCATGCAGCCTCTGCAAAGCATCAACGCTGATAATTTCGGCTACACACACACACACACAGTCAGTGAACGCGCGAAAGAGGAGTGGTTGAACACGCGTTGAACCTTCGTTGACGCTGGCGGGCAGCTGTTTGCGCCCTTCGTCGTCGATGGGCCGGAACTCCATGCCCAGGACCTGGCGGTAGTTGCGGATCGCCTGCAGCTTGTCGCCGTTCACCAGCGCCACGCCGGCCAGACCGTTGAGCGACGCGACCAGGTTTCGCTGCCCATCCGCGCATTCGATGGTGGCCCTGTTCAAGAATGCAAGAAATGTTCACAAATCAAACGATAGAAAATTTGAATAATTTGATGATTACCTGATAATCAGCTGCAGGAGCAGCTCGCTCATAGACATGGTGTTCTTCTGGAGGGAGGTGAGGCCCGATTTGCTGCCCACCTAATGCTGAACATTAGTCGAATTCCTCAATTGATTTCAAGCAACCAGATTCGAGGAATCGCTCACGTCTGGTTGTACCTGCGGATGGCAGCACGCCTGCCGGAGGGAGAGGAGTGACCCGAAGATCTTGGACACGTTCTTCTCAAAGTTGATCGCTCGGTTGTGCTTTAAGCGTTCGAATATGGTGCGGGTGCGTTGCACGGTGTCGCCCAGCCTCTTCTTGTAAAAGTGCGCCTGCATGTTGCATTACCCCACAATGAGTGTGTGCGTGTGTGTGTGCGTGTGCGTGTGTCGTGTCGTACCTCGACTGGAGAAAAGGTGAGGAATCGAGTTTTCTCGTGCAGGGGAGGAATGTCGATTTCGTCGACGACATCGACCTTGCTCGTGCGCCACATAATGGTGCGCAGGAACCCGTGCAGCTTGTCCCGCATCTCCCCGCGCTCGTAGGGCAGCTGCACGCACTGCCGCCACACGCTCCGGGCGTCGAACGGCGCGAGCTGCAGGAAGGCGATCAGGCCGTGCAGGTCCTCCAGCCCGCGCCGCTGGATGGGCGTTCCGCTGACGCCCCACCTGTTCACCGTCGACAGCCGCAGCGCCATCTTGGCGACCTTGGTCGACGGCGTCTCGATCATCTGCACCTCGTCCAAGCACGTGCGCCAGAACCGCACGCCTGTCCCACCCAGGGCCATGTTGATGAGCTATTCAGAAGAAGAATGCGAGGCCCATGTCTGGAGGCCCACCACGTCCGTACCCAGCAGAGGAGTAGGGATTGGTCGGTATCGCTTCTTGTCCCTGAAGTTTCTTGAGGGGCTCTGGCTGATGACGTGGCTCAAGTCATTCCTGAAATAATGCAAGAAGAAAAAAGAAATGTTAGTTTATTGTGCAAAGCGCTTCAACGAACAAACAGGACTGGTGAGTACCGTAGGGTGGTGTAGGTGGTCAACACGACGTCGTAGTCGACCAACTGGGCAGGTCGCACAATCGGCAGCCCGCCAGCGTGCTTGGAGACCGTTCCGCGCACGCCCTCGTAGACCAGGTACTATGTGTGCACAAGAGAGTCTCAGTGGTGTGTGTGTGTGTGTGTGTCGAATGTTCGCCACCAGGCGATACCTTGAGCGCGCCAGGCCTGGTGTGACGTTCGATCTCCTGCTGCCACTGGGTTAGGATCGAGTCGGGGCACACGATCAAGGTAGCCCTCGACTCGAGCTTCTGTCCGCCGCGGGCCGTACACTCGGGACACTCGTACGAGTCGCCCGTCAGCACCTCCGTTACCTCCTGCTTGCTGCGGTCATCCTCTGCCTCTTCTTCTTCTTCCCCTTCCTCCTCCCTGTACTCGTCTTCGCTGCTCTCTCCTTTCTTCTTCTTCTTGCTTGTCCTCCGCTTTCCCTTCGTTTTCCTCTTCTTTGGCGTCGTGTTCTTGCTGGTCCTCCTTCTCTTCCTGGTCACAGTCCTATACGCACGACGCCCCAATCAGGAGTGCTCTGACGACCAATTACACAGAGCTACGTACTGCTTAGGACCGGAGGGCACGTAACCCACACATGCTGAGTGTTGCCAACGCTTGCAGGATTCGCACTGTACCCACACGCCGGCGTAGTCCGGATCGTCATCGCCGCAGAAGCACCAGACCTGGTCCTCCTGAATGCACCCAAAATCAGTAAATTAAGAATAGTAATTATAAAGAGAATATATATGTTAGTATTAGTATTCTATCCGTATAATGAAATCCAATGTCAGTCAATTCGAATGTAAGCGTTCGTACCTCCTCGGCGTTCTCTGTGGGAGATTCGATCTCCTTGTGTTGCCTCTTCTTCCTGTTTCTCTTGCTCTTGCGCAGCCTGCCGTTGGTCTGCCGAATGCCAGATGGCTGGGGGTCTTCATGTGCTGTGGCCTCAGTCGCGTCACCACCGGTGAGCATTGCGCCTGGCCCGGTTTTCGCCACTACGCCGGCTTGTGGCGGCCGCGGATTGGCGAGTATCAGCGCAAGCACCTCCACGGTCTTGCCCAGACCTGACGATTAAGCGCGAACCACACAACATCATTAGCTGAGCCTACGACGAACAGCAGCAGCAGCAGCAACAACCGACAGCGAAACACAACCAGAACTTACCCATTTCATCGGCCAATATGCCACCGCTCACGTCCGACGGTGCCGGGAAGCGGGCAAGCGTAAACTTGCCCGTGAACTGGTTGAAGTAGAACGTCACGCCCGTGGTGGTGTCCACGCCGTCCTCGCCTTCTTCTCTTCGAAGCCTGGTGC